TGCGTCTGTGTCTGTCTGCGTCTGTGTCTGTCTGCGTCTGTGTCTGTGTCTGTCTGCGTCTGTGTCTGTGTCTGTCTGTGTCTGTCTGCGTCTGTGTCTGTCTGTGTGTGTCTGTGTCTGTCTGTGTCTGTCTGTGTCTGTCTGTCTGTCTGACTGGCTGTCTGATTGTCTGTGGCTGTGGTGCCCAGCATCAGCATGGAGCTCCGAAGTAAGCCTGGTCAACGCAGGGACTGCCAATGAAGAGCTGGAATGCCTGCTCATTGATGCGTTTGTGTGCGCTGATGCCACACTTCTGACAACGGATGTAGCCAGTCGTCTCAGCGAAGTGGTGTTGATCAACCGTAGGCGGATGCTCTGCCTGGACCGTGAGGATGTGCTTTATCAGTTGTGCTCGGGTCTGCTTCTTAGGCATGCATGGTAGGGCTGTAGTGCTGGATTGGCGTCCTCCAAGCTCAACTGTGGGCATGCCTCTTGGAGTCCTGTCTCAAGGACCGTCACCGTCAGACCCTGGTGAGCACAGGCACTGCAATGGAACCCGCTGCGGTGTGGTTCCCATCGATGGTGCGGCGCTTGCCATGCTTGTTTGCACCGCCCTACCAGATGCTTCTTGCGCTGCTTTGTCTGGCGGCCCTGGCGCCTGGGCACCTTGTTGTGGATGTAGCGCATAGATCAGGGCCAGCCTGGCCACGGCGCGCTGATATATCACAGCGTGGTCCTGGTCCAAGGTGTGTTGCCAGGAAGAGCTGTTGCGGTCGCGGAGATTGTTGGCCTTTCCCATGCGGCATCTCGTTGTCGCCTTCTGACGTAGAGTAGTGTGACCCGTGCAGGGGTGTGAGGACTTGTGGGAATACCTGTGACGGCACCCAGCCTCTGCATCTGTCCCAGGGTCATCGTGCGTGCACAGAGCCCAAAAACCCGCACCTGGCCGCGCTGGTCATAAGTGGAGGGTGTGGCATCTAAGGGCCCAGCCCTGATGCTGGCGCGGAGCTAAGGCTTGACATTGAAGTGTTTTCCAGCACCCATGTTGTTGGCAGGGATGTAGCGTGCGTCGATGCTCCTGCGGCTCCAGTGGGATCCATCCAGCTGTCCACAAGCGCTCAGGTCCGTGAGTTCCGGTTCTGCAGGCTGCTTTGGGCCTAGGCCAAGGGCTTGTAGCTTAGCCCGGATGCTCTTTGGAGTGACATCCCATGTGGATGCCAGTAGGTCTGAGGCTGCTTGTTGGTCTTTGGGTCTCCGCAATGGTTTGAGCTTTGCCAAACCTGGTGTCTCCAACAAAGCCTCCTGGTATGACTTCTTGGGCCAAGTGTGCCCCGGGTTGCTAGTGCTGTTGCCCCAGTATGGTTCAAGAAATCCCGCAAGTTGAGGCACCGGTCTCAAAGGCCAGGTGGAAACAGTTCACCTCCTCTGTGACAGTCTCTATCACGGGAATAGTCCAGGGCCACCGGGGAACTCAAAGGAGTAGGGTTGCCGAGGAAATTCACACGTGATGTGTGTGTAGCGCGGTGCCGCGGGAGGCGCACTTGGTCGGTTTTTGGGGGCGACCTTGAGAGCTCACGGCCTTGAGCCTGTCTGTCTGTCTGTCTGTCTGTCTGTCTCTGTCTGTGTCTGTGTCTGTGTCTGTGTCTCTGTCTCTGTCTCTGTCTCTGTCTCTGTCTCTGTGTCTGTCTCTGTGTCTGTCTCTGTGTCTGTCTCTGTGTCTGTCTCTGTGTCTGTCTGTCTCTGTCTGTCTCTGTCTGTCTCTGTCTGTCTCTGTCTGTCTCTGTCTGTCTCTGTCTGTCTCTGTCTGTCTCTGTCTGTCTCTGTCTGTCTCTGTCTGTGTCTGTCTGTGTCTGTCTGTGTCTGTCTGTGTCTGTCTGTGTCTGTCTGTGTCTGTCTGTGTCTGTCTGTGTCTGTCTGTGTCTGTCTGTCTGTCTCTGTCTGTCTGTGTCTGTCTGTGTCTGTCTGTGTCTGTCTCTGTCTGTCTGTCTGTCTGTCTGTCTGTCTGTCTGTCTGTCTGTCT